GTTTCCTGCATAATATGTCTCATGTTTTCAAAGGTTTTGTATTTTCTTATTTGGAACGTGACCATATCACACGGGAAACTGAGGATCAAGAGTCTTGTGAATGACGTGCCGCGGTGCTTGGATGAAATGAAAACCTATGGTAATCGCAATCGTTCCGAATTGGAACCTTTGCTGTAATAGACAGTCTGTGTTCAACAAGCTTCATTTGTCTTCTTAATTATGATATGTGTTTTCAAACAAGGTGGAATGCCTTCAAGGGCATGAATCTCTCTTGCGGCACTATTGCAGTCTGGCTTTGGAGAAGTCCGAAGAGCCAGTGTCGTCCATCGATGTTGAAGCAAGTGCCGAGTTCATCAATGACACCAAGCAGGCCCTCAAGACCGTAGACATCGATGTGAGGGATGCAAAGCGGAGGATTTCATCAATGAAGCCCAAGAAGTCGAAGCGAGATGCCCCACAAACATGTGACTCTGAGTCATCGGCGGAGTCAGAATAGATATCCAAGCCAATGTCTTTGGCTCATCACCCACACGGATCCGGGGTGCTGATCGGACGCGAGTTGTTTGCCATAGCGATTGTCCAGTGAAACACGCTGGTGTCCAGGACTGTTTGCATCGCATCCTTTGTCTCACTCATGGCTTTGTTTTTTGGAGAAGCTCCAATCCACAATTGAAGTGAAGTTTTCCGCTTTCAATCTCCAATGAAGTGTTCCACCTCCCATCACACCAAGCTGTTCCACCTCCAATCTCCAACGCAGCGATCCCCATAAATTTTATCTTACCCTCAAAGCCCTTATCCCACAGCAGTTCTGGATTCCACGAGCCAAGACGCCTTTTTGGTCTTGCTACAAAGCACTGACCTGGCATATGGTGTGGATGTAGCTGTTTTGACAGCTGTGACCGCACAACAAATTTATGTTAATTAAACGATGTCTGGCAAGAAACGCCACCAGTTGAAACTGCAAGTTAGCATGGGTGTACGTTGGAAAAACACGAGCTTGTTCACGTGTTCTTTACAATGCAACTTGTCAAGGTATTTGTGAATAGTTACCCAAACTCGCTGAATGAAACTGCTCTTTGCGCTGTTGCACGCACACAAGGAACTTGAACATGGTATATCTGGTATAACTGTTTCATTGCTTACTATATCCAATGACTATTATTGCATATTTGCTTTCACCATCTTTCACCATCTTCCAGATAAGGTTATATATTTTTTCCTCGAAACACGCGCGTGCCAAAGTGCAATGGTGTCAAATGGACTTAGTGGAGGAATTTTTGGTGCTCACCAGAACAGTGTCTTGGCTTGTTGACAGACACATGCTTGCACTGTCATGGGCTTGCTTTTGCTTATTTGCTTACCAAGCCAAGGTTTCGGTCAATACATTGGTTTCTCTTTTCAGGATCCTTCGAAGACGGATACCTGGAAGACATCTACCGATGCCTGGATCAATTGTTTTATAACTTTTTCTTGGGTAATTTGTTAGTGGTCTCCTTCGAATTGTCAGGAAGAATCTACGGAATTTGGTGGACTTGCTCAGCAGCAGCAGTGAGAAGAACTACGCACGTACCTTTTGGAGATGGCTGGACAAACAAAGCTGGCGCAAGATGCTCCCTAGTCAGACTGAGTGCCTTGTTTGATTTGGAGTGACCTTGCGTTTGGCTGGCACGCATGCTTTGTTTGGATGACCTAGGGTGAGTGTTATTTTGCAAGATCACAGCCTTGAATCACCAGCGTACCTTGGATCCTGGCACCTGCTTTTGCCAAGCGATATGACCCTTGTTTTAAAGAGTGGTCTTACGTGAGCTTGCTTGTGTTCGTGTTTGGTTTCTGAAATGGTTTGCCTCAGATTCTCAAGCATATACCACTATGACTATGAGCTGTTTCGATCCAAATTCATCGGACCTGAAGGAGCATCTGGGTCCAAATATGAACGAATAATGTTCTTTTTTCCTGCTTGTTCTGCTTATGGTTCTTGGCGGGCACCCTTAGGCAATAGCTGAGTTTTGGGCTTCATATGAGAACACTGAATGGTACCGTACCCACCCTGTTCTCAGCAGACCGGATGCTTGGCAATGATGGCATGGAGATGAGTGATGTGGGATTGTGATTTGATGTTTCCCCCATTCAGGATGTGGACAAGTTGCGATGCATCCCCATAAGTCTACATGGGGACGATGCTGATAGCCACAGAAGGCGCACCTTCAACATATGTACCTTTCAAAGCCTCACAGTGCCTGGCGCCTTCTATGACAAATCCGTGGTGTTGTTTTGTCTTGACAACTCGGTCGCTCTCCCAGAAACTGCATCCACTCTTGAGAAATGGGTTGGATGGTCCATATCGGAGCTGCAGGAAGGATGTTTCTCGACCATTGATCCATTCGGTGCTGTGTTTGCGCCTGCAGTTGACAAAAACCGTACAGGAAGCATTGCTGATGGATTCCGTTGCATCCTCATGATGCACAAGGGGATGAGAAGTACCACCAAAAGGTGTATCGACCCGCCAAATCGTGGGTCAGTGAAAATTGTTGCTTGCATTGCCGTGCCACGGTAAGCGCGGGACCGCTCATGTACACAGCCTTTGGAAGAGATGCTGGGCATCGAACTACGCTCACAACGACTCGCGACTTCATTGAGAATATTGCCCGGTGTCAATCAATCACCTGTGTTCCTGGTTGGAGCATGGGTATGATTGTTTATGATTGGATGCACATCGTAGATTTGTGCATTATCCCAGAGTGTGCAGCTTCAGCTTTGACCTTTGGCTTACATCAGGGTTTGTTTTCCATTATTCATTGGGCTCCCTCATATGAACAATCTGAGGATCGAATTGACGGCAAGAGGTTCTTCGATCTTTGGACATGGCTCTGTCGAAGAAAAACTTCGTACAGCATATGCACAGTTCAGCAAAGCTTGCCGCATACGGGGGGTCCGCAACTTGGATGCACATAGTGAAACTCGGAATGGCATTACGTCTTGGCCATGCTGCCCACATATGATTGCTCAATTCAGGATTGAATGTGTCATACCAATTTACTGCATTCATTTTGTTTTTTCTGTAACATGTTGATCCAAGGAAGAATCTATATCCAAATGGGCCCAAATCATATCCCACATTTGCACAAAAGCACATGAACGCCGCAGAGTCTTCGCAGCATGTCGTGTGTTTTCATTGTGGTCTGTGGGTTGTGAGTGTGCATAGTTTTCCTGGTGTGAACCTAGGAGTGTGTTGTGCTCGCCATGTGGTTGATGTCGCTGACTGTGAAGCTGGCTGAAGAGAAACCAAATTGTGAACACACTGCGTGGCTCGACAGTCAATGTTCTGCTGATTTGGGTTCCTGAGTGTGCCAAATATGCTTAAATCGTTCACTGGGCAAGGATGGTTGCAGCGGTTTTTACGAACCTTGTGGCTATGAGAAAGGCTATGAGCAAAAATTCAAACCCTGGACGCCATACAACCTTGTTGCCGGAGAACCTTCGGACGTTACAAAATGCGGCTTATCTTTTTAGATCCGCTCATAATTGCAACTCGGATGTCAACGGTAAACTGAAACAAGGATGAATGGTGTGATGGTTTGCTGCTTGTGGTTCTTCTTTGCAAGTGGTTTGCTAAGGGTTGGCAGTGGAGGCAATCCAGCGACAAGATTTGTTATGGAAAATACGCCCAAAATATCATAAGTTTCTTGTGGTGCACATGATGAAGAACCTGTTCGAACTGACTTGCTTTGTTTGAGTGGCTGGATGCTAATCGCTACCAAGATCTACCGAGGTTAGATCATATCGTTCTTGACCAAGCGGTCTTTACGAACCCAATCGTCACCAGCTGCTACACGGACGAAGACGGAATGGGAGAGTTGAAGCGGTTGGCCAGAGAGTCAAACCCGCTGAAACTAGGGCAAACTGTCCTACATCGATATATTTGCTACGTGTGTGTCAGATGGATGCGCCAGGGATCGTGATGTTACGGCTATTCTGTTGTTAATCTTCCACCGGCTTTGAACAAACAAAACACAAAGCAACTCGGTGCAAGTGGCGCAACCATGCCGGAGAGACCTCCACCTCTTGGCCACGTGGTCCAAAAATAGTGGCAGAGGCCGCGTGCGGTCGGTGGGCTGGGGATGGAGGAGGTGTTAAATAAACAATGCCACCACGGCATAACTGAGGTAACATAAGTGTTGGTGTGAGACATGGCATGATTTTTCCTTCCAAACCTCCTCAAGGTGGGAGCGGAACATGTTTGTCATCGTGGTCATGGCTCCAGTACCCTCCGACAGGTCATGTCTGTTTTTTTGGTGGTCATCGTTGCTATGACTCTAACAGGTGTCCCCTAGTAGCCTGTTAGCTAACAGGATTTTCAAAAACCAGACGTGACCTGTCGGAGGGTGCTGGTATAATGACTATATAATGATAAATACTTGATTGCTATATCTTGTCTTTAACTATATACACATATACCAGAACCACAGAAAAGGAGTCCATGTACAGCATTGAGCTCGCAGGAGGTGCGCATTTTGATTTTCCATAGCCTTTTAGAGTGTCCATCAACCACCCCGACTGGGGGCACAGGTCAACCACCTTTTGGGGATTGTGCCATCTACTCACAATCCGGAGATTGGTCTTGTGGGCATTGGATCCCGCATGGGCCGATTGTTGGACCTTCGGCATTGGAAGGTGCTGCCTGGCTGGCCCGCATAATCTAAAAGGCTCCATGCGTACCACTGGCTGGCCACAGACTCTTTGCATGATGTGTTTGAGCTGATTCAGTTTTCCAACTGTGACTGGCCGTAGTGAGGGTGTGTGATTGAATTTGGGCACAACTTCAAAAATATGAATTGAAGATTTGTAGAAATAAACCAGCACCACCAGAAACTCAATGTGGATTCACCTCTTGGGTTGGCTTCTGCAAACTCCTCGTAAAAACATCCACACACGCAACCCATCGATTCTGCCGTGCCCCGGTGGAAACCGCCGGACGTGGGCGACCCACCAGGGTCGCCCAGGTTCTACGGGGAGACCCGCCGCAGCGTTGATAGCTCGCTGGGCGTCGACTCCGACCACATGGTCTCCGCGGCTCCTCGGCGCGTTCGCCGCTGCTCGTCGACGTCGCCCGCGGGGAACGGAGCAACTTCCGAGCCCCGGTCGATCAGGACCGGACGCATGGTGTGCGTCTCCGCGCCCCATCTGAAGCCTCAAACCTGTGTGATCCAGGATGCTTTGATCCTGCTTTGCTGGGCGTAGGTAGAACAGGGTGACAAGGTGACTTTTGGCCAAAGATGTCCAAATCAAAATGTCACAAATCCTGTGGTTGGCAGTTGAAAGATCATGAGGTTCTCATCTGGTGAATCTGGTGTGAAAGCCAGGAGGAAACACCCAAAGCCAAAATTTGAAGTACGTAAACTGTGAAGATATTCATTGTGTTCTTTTCCGTTCAGGGTTTTCGGTGGGAGCTAAAAACTGCGACACATATTCTTCAAGGGAGCAAGGATTCAACGGCTCCAAGCTCAATTGAACTACAACTTAAATTCAGTGCCTCTAGCTTGAAATAGCATGTCACTATGGACATAGAGATTCTTGACATTCAAATTGCCCAATTTTCAGGGACACTGACACCAATCTCTCACTTGACCTCCTAGTGGTGGGATTTCCAGATCTGGAAAGTTTCAAGCGGCAAGACCTTCCAGGTCTTTATGAGTAACTCGGCCGTTGGAACCTTGTTGAATGGGCGCCTGGGCTGCAGAGAGGCTGGATGGGGGCGACAGGGGCTTAAATGTTCAACAGATGGCAGACAGTCATGTTCTAAGTTTTTTTTTTTCAAGAGTTCTAGTCACTCACTAAATCTCAGACAAGTGATATTGGTTCGGTATGGTGGAGAGAACGCTCAGGGTGGACAGATGGTGTTGGAAATCTGGGGGACATAGCTCCAAAAGGTCCCACGTGGCTTGCTCACGCTCATGGAGAGGTGGGTGACTGGTGGCAGAACCCTAGGAAAGCAGGCAGATCTGGGCAGTCGGTGACCGGATTCTTATAGTCAGATATTCTTACTGTATATCATTATTTTTTTTTTGAGAAAGGCCGTTACATGCCATCCACCTATCATCCACTTATCATCCACTAAGATGTGGTATATACCTAAGAGTGATCGATTGTTGCTGAGGATTGTATCCTTTATCACCTTCACTCTCTTGGGCATGTGCCTTGCCCGATCTTGGCCGGGATGGAGGTCTTCGCTTTTGCCAGTCCACCAGGCTTATGAAGAACAACATCCATGACACTCCATAGGACTGGCATATTTACATACATTGGGTGGTTTCTTGGGTCAAAGTAGGCAGTGGAGTGTTTGGGTATATAAAAAAACAATATAAAACCTATCCTCAAGTCCTACAAAAGACTGAGGCAACGCGGGCACGAGCGTTGTACTGTATGACATTGTATATACGGTATATATATATATATAGACGCCCCACCACTCACCACCTGGACCTGCAGCATCACCGGGAAAAAAGTCAAGCACAGCGCTGACTGTTTGCCTTTTTTACGGCTCGGCGGAATCGACGGTTCTTTCGATTGCCCTAGGGACTGAGAAGGAAATAAACTTGGTTGGCAACCTCTGATCAATGCGATGAGAACCTCGCTCCCATGGTATGGCGTTTGTGGACCTATTCCTGCAAGGAGAAGCAGGATCAGTGCTTGAACCCTGCTTCAACCCAGCATGACTCATCCGCTCTTCATCGATCCATCCGGTTTCCATGCGTTTCCATGCGGTTTCCCCTCAGGAAGGTGCTGAAAAAGGCCATCCGACTTTTGGGGGGGCGTGTCCCACAACCCTGTAACAGTCGGTTTTCCGCTTTGTTCACGATGGTTTGAAGGAAAAAGGCCTTTAACTAGCCATCATCCGCTGTTACAGGGAATAGATGAGAATAGGATATACCTATACCAGGACTATGCCATCCAACCGGTCACCAATGAAATACCCTCCACTACTTAGGGATCTCCGGACAGGACACCCATTGGATGGTCCAGGTATATATATATATATATATATTTATGTATGTTTGGGGAGTGACCAGTTGGGGAGTTGGGGTGGTAAAATCCGGGGTCCATGTATGGAGGTAACATCAATTGTCCATGAATCTACATCATCTACAGCGTGGCTGGATCAAATCACCTCCCCTTTGTGATCTCTCCCCAGGTCAGTGGAGAATGTTTTTGAGCTCTTGGCAGCACTCCAAGCGGTGCTGATGTTGCTGCTCCTGGCATTGGCCTTCTTGCCACCTTCGACGAGCAGTAGCAGTAGTGCACCATGCGATGCTGAGCTCGGGGCCTGTAATGCCGAGCGTACGTGCGAGTGAGACCGAAAAAGGGCTCAGTCTGCCTGGTCGGATGCAGATCACCATGTCACTCGATGGACCACGCGAAGACCGCCACAGAAGGGACCGGGTCCCGCTTAGAACAGGATCGGTGCGTGGGAAGAAGAGCTTATGTCCAGTTCATTCGGATTTACTGGCCCTTTTGGACCCAACAAACCCACAAGTAATATGGTTTACAGATTGCCAGCACCCCGGAAAGGGTGTCCATTAATAGCCCCTTATATAGAGGTCAAGGGTGTCCATCAACCACCCCTTGGGGGTCCAGGTGTGTATGTGTTATGTATTGAAGGTAATTGAATATGAAAGTAGGTGCGAGATGCACCCCTCAATGCCCACAAACATCAAGCTCGTTGGAGAGGTTGCTCCCATCGAGGCTCCTCATATCAAACAAACTGACTATAGTGGGATTTTGGAGTTGAGGGGTGTAGTTCTTGGTGTAGTTCAGGTTCGTGACTCAGGCCCCCTTATGTGTCGTGTCAGCCCAGCAAAGATGTTCTGCAGATGTTCTGGAACGTCCGAAAGGGCCTGCTTCTCGGGACCCTTCAAACAACTTGAGCCCATCTTGAGCCCTTGTGCTTCACAGTTGATTGGCTGCTTGAGCCAGGCCATGTCAAGCCCCTTATCCAGCTTCAGCTGGTGAACCTTTGTGGAGTTCCAGTCACCGAACCAACCATTTCCCAGCACCGTGACCGAAGCAACCAGAAGGATCAAGGATCTTGTCACCGAACCAGGATCTCGCCTCATGGCACAGACCCTTTGGAGAAACCACTATCACCAAGGCGCTATCAATGTGTTCTTCCTCCTTAGACAGCAGTGTTCCCAAACTGGAGACCAGGCGGATCTTCTAAGGACTTGTTTGACGAATATCTATCACATGGTAAGGCCAATATTTTTTTGCCAGAATCCTTGATTTAAAAGAACGTCAAATTGGACAAGTATGGAAAAGTCCAGGTCAAACACAATACATCTAAAAAAGGTCAAACATAGATCACAACTCGAGAAAAGAAATCAAAAACACGTCAATCAAAAGTCAACCCAAAAAGTCAAAACAAATTGAAACAAACCAAGTCAAAAAATACAAACAATACAAAATTCGATCACAACTCAAAAAAAAGTCAAATAACAGTCAAAGCAAATCAACAATAGAAAACAACTCGAAAAAAGTAAACATGTCAAGACAGGTCGGAAACAAAACAAGTCAACATTATAAAACAAAAGTAACAAATACTTCGGATCTGGGTCAATTGATATTTTTTGGGACTTACTGACACTTTCTGATTTGATTTTTTGACTTTGACTTTTGGGACTGACTGACTACTAAGTTGACTTTTTTGACTTTGTCAAAATATTGAAAACAGGCTCTCTCTCAAATGAAATATGTTTATAAGATTTGTTCTTTCTTTTCCCCCATGCCCAATGGTTTATGCGGCCCACAGCAGTTGGGGGATCTTCTTTTTGGTTATCCTCCTTCAAGGTCCTCAGGACTCACCTAACCCCAGTTGTGCGAGGCTCCCAGCCGGCCGCCGGGTGCTCCTTCTCCGAAGGCTCCGATGATGTCCAGAAGTGGTGCAGTGTCATGGATTTCATACATCCTTGAATAAAGATTCCAATGGCATTTCATGGTTTCTTGAGCATTTCTTGGCTAGCGGCTAGCTGCTGCCATCACTAGATTCGAGCTTTGGCACCCCACCACCCCACACACGTCACAGGCTGCCGCGGCGACCACGCCCCGCGACGGACCCCCGTGATGGGGCGCAGGCGGTGTTGGAAGAGGGTCATGGGCCGGTCGTGTACGACCGTGCTGGGCTTTTTTCGTGGTTTGTTCCCCCTCAGATGGATCCTCCTGGTCGCCTCTCCACGCGGTGGACAGAAGTTGCGGACAGAGGGAGGTGCGGAGGGACAGAAAAAAGCGTGACGTCAGGGGCAGCACCGACGTCAGGGGCGGGTGAATGTGATGGATCTTTGCTGAGATCGTTTGGTTGCGAACGGCAGTCAAGGAATTGTAAGGAAGCATGCATTGTTCCACTCCAGTCTGTGACACGCAGAGATCCGCGTGGAATAACAGACTTCGGGGATTGATTGATTTTATTGGATTGCATTGCATTCGGCGGTTTCCCATTTGATGGCCGCTTGTCACAAACACGGAATTTATATGAATGTATATGTAATGTTTAAGAACAACGAATGAGCGAAGCATATTTTCCCCCAAACACGACCAATGGGACTGGCTATATTTACATTGGGGTGGTTGATCCGGGGTCAACGTAGGCATATATATATAATGGCAATATACTGAGTTTTCAGGAGCGGTTGGGTATTTTTGATGTTGTTCCTTTTCATCCCATTTCCGCAGGAAAGCGATGGAATCGAAGGTCTGACCGCGCTTCGAAACTGGAAGTCGATCCTCGCAACCAAGTTTGAACCACATGCAGAGACCCTAGTGGCCCTAGTGGCTTGGAGGTGAGGGTGTTGGCTTATCACTTGCATGCAAATGGAAGACCTGTTTTGTTGCAGTAAGCTTGCAAGACCTTTTGTTTATTAATTACTAGACTATATATATATATAAATCATAATTCAACCAGTGTCGGGACGGGACGATGTATTTTTTTCGGACTTTTTGGGGGAAGTTTCGTCACGACCTGGCAGCTCCGTATCAACATGTCGCCAACTACTACACCAACATGGGTGACCCAACTGACCCAACATCGTTGTCCAGCAGTTCTCCATCGTCTTGAAGTTGAAACGATTGTTATATAAAACATGTCCAGGACCCTCCAAGTGGTGCCCAATGGAAGCCTATAGGTAGTGTGGGGAAGTTTATTGGACACCCCGACAGGAGGGTCCTGGTGTGTTTAAATGAGACTGGAACCCCACAGTATTTCGGGTGGTTTTGGTGGTCCACTAACGACTTTTCAGTCACCGCCCGTGGGATTGAAGTTGTAGCAGGTGGAGGCCAAGGACGTCTGCAGTAACTACCAGGTTCTTCGACCGAATTTGCAGCCCCAGTTCCAGGTCACTTAGCTATATAGCTCCCAAGCGGGGCAATTCTTCCGGACCCACTTTCATACTTTCCGGGTTCGTGTTTTGGAGAAACAACGTCCTTTTCGATCGAAGTCTTCGATCGGAATTCACTCAATGAGGTTTTGCCAGTTGGACATGCAGCTTAGGGAGAGTTAGCATGTTGCTCCAACATGTTCGAACTCCCAGACACTCCATGTATGGTGTATAATGTGCCTGCATTGACCCCTGAAATCACCGTCAATGTATGTAAATATGCCAGTTTTATGGTGTGTGTTGGGCATTCCAACTTCTAACTCCATCCCAAGTCGCGGTCGACTTCCAAGACATCCGTCGATGATTTACTTCAAGCAAAGCTTGACTGTTTGCCCATCTGCCCTGACCTGACAGGGAGGTCTCCAATTTGCGTGTGACACACCATGATGGAATGCAAAAGCTCCATCCAAACGAAGTTCCAGCCTCCCATCCGTTGAAGAGGGGAAGTGTTCCAATCTCAGTATGGAATTGTTGCGTACATCAGAGCCATTCATGGGGTGAATGTATGTAGCTACTGTATCCCACTCCCATGGGTGGTTTGAAGATGAAAAAGGTAGATCCAGGACTCGCAAAACCATTCACGTCGAGCGATTCTCTGCGGAGCCTTCAGAGAAACTCTGGACCGCCTGGCTCAGCCAAGCCTGATAGGAATGCGGCCCCAAGAAGGTGATCGGAAGCGGCCACCAGCCATTTTGGTATCCAAAAGGTATCCATCCTCCCTTCCAAGCAGAGACCCAAAAAACAACATGACCTTCGTCATTCGCAAAACCTGTATGTCCAGGTTAGAAGAACCGCCATCGTGGTCAGGTCGGATGGGTTCTTTGGACCGTCCCCATCCGTCCCCAAGGGACGGGATGGGTTCTTCTCTTCTCCGCGTGGCCCGCGGGGATGGGCCTTGCAGTGCAGTGACCGTGATGTACGCGGTTCATGGAATGGATGAAGAGCTACGCAGCTACACCGGCCTAGAGTTTCTTCTTGGGCAGAACTGTTTGCCTATTTGATGTGTCAAGGCGCCGGTGTCCGTGTTTAGGCTTCGGCGTTCTTGTCCTTCAGGAACAACCCACCACTGGTCCAGGAATGTCCAGTGATGAAAAGCATGTGTGCATCAGGAATTCACTTCATGCTTCACTTGCATGTTGTTTAGCCTGTCTACGCTGTGATTCATTGTGTTTTTCTTTTTGTGTAGGCGTATGTAGGCGTTCTTACCTGTTACGTAGGCGTTCTTGCCCCTTCCCCCTCACTACAATCAGTAGTAAGGTGGACAAAGGAATGGTAGCCTTTTGGGGGAGCGAGTGATCTGAGTTTTAAATACATTCAAGTACTTCTAGAAAATCGGGACGGGCGCATCAGGTGTCAAGCAATTGTTTTCTCAAAGGATCGTTGTTCAACAAAAATTGGTAAATTGGGGAGGGCGTTCTCAACCCCCACCCGTTGTACCAAGGGGGATGTAAATGGTTTCCTTCAATTTCTTACTCTGCCTCCTGCATTGTGTCTCATTGCATGTTGTTTAGCCTGTCTCGGCGTTTGGAGCTCAGCGAACGGGCGTTCGGTAAAAAAGGGTGGAGTGTTCAGCCTACGTTACAGTTACAGTAGGCAATAATAATGAAGCCGAATGAAGAACTAGGTCAGAGTGCTAACCACAACTGGTGGGGGTGTGGGAGTCATTTCGAAAGTATTCATGATGTATTCATGTGGATGAGGAGACATCAACTGTGTGTGTGTGTGTGTCAGACCATGCCATGTCTACCGTGAACCCTTGGACCGAAGAGGGGCTCCGAAGAGGGACCTGATTCTGCCTATCACGGTCTGCACTGATTGGCCCGAGCATTGCTTAAAGATTTTGTGCGCCAGTTTGGGCGGCGGCCGAAGCCGGAATTGGTTAATAGACCAGGAGCACAGCATAGCATAGCAGCTGCCACATTCGACTCACTAACATGGAAGCAGAAAAGGTAACTGTTGTAAGACTACTATAATCTTGTTTGTACTTCTACGATCAGGGGGTTGCACACTTCCATGTTAGTCAGTCGGAGCTTAGGACATGTTTTGTGTTGCATTTGTGGGGTAATGCAGTGTTGCCTGCGTGGCCAATCTCTTTTGAAGGGTGTCTTGAGGAATGGCTAGGCTTCCTCTTTGGAATATAACTGTACAATTCTTTACTTTATACTGTACTTATCATTATACATGGTTGACTTTGAACATGTTTTATAGCTTATCTGACTCAAATGGGTCACATTGGGGGTCATTCATTGGCATTCCCAATGATAGAGATCTTAGTTGTAAGAGCTTGCTTGAAAACTAAAGCAGGTGAATCTTGCAGGAGCATACCGTTCCTTTGTGAAAGGCGAGGTGCAGCACAGCATTATCACCACCCCATTTGCTGCTTGAACAGGGGTCCGTGTTCTTGATCAGGTATGCCCGACAGAAAATGCATAAGTCAGCTATTTTATTCCGTCTTCGTGCTGGCAAGATTCCGCGGCTGCACTTTGAGGTGCAACCGCGTCAGGCCGGATGGCGTTTGTTGGATTGCTTCGTTAGGGGGAGCAGGAACATTTAGGAGAATACCAAGGTGAATCATCACAAGGACCAATTCAAAGCCGGCTTTGCTTTGTTGAGTTTTGCATTGAGACAGGTGGCATTTCATAACTGAATGTCGAGATCGATCCTTTTGTATGAACAGCATTCAGCACTTTTTTGGGATCATCACAGGACAACACTGCAGATCTCCACAGGTCTATGTACACTCCAGGTCGGGGCACTCCGGGTCACAGCTTTCTGATTTCTTTTTGAGGTTCGGAAGGCCCTGAAGATGAACATGGAACCCCAAAAACCATTGCTTGGTAGAGGAAACACATGGAAAAAAAACTTTTTTGTCTTTGGGAATTTCAACAGCGGTCCAGGGGACCGAGCTTTCAGCCTTGGAACACACGTACCGTACCCTTGGCCCGTCGCTCCTCGCTCGCTCGAAGCTGCCACAGCCGGTGGGGGGCCAAAGAAGCGCCCCGTGGCCGACCAGGTGAAGTCAAAAAGCGGACATCTGCAGACCAGTCACAGAGCTCGGTTTTCCAGCAGAGGTTGAAGAACCCTATAGACTATCCTATAGGGTCCTATATAAGGTCACTTAACCTCTGTAGGTTTTTCTGGTTTCCGTCCCATGTTCTGGTTCGTCCCATGTTTTCTGACCAGGGGTGTGCTTTGCTTGGTCCATCCAGTGAGTGGATTGGTCACATGGGGACCCGATCCTTCCTCCGTTCTTCACATGGGGACCCGAAATGTGACTTCAGGGTGAACCCCTAGGGATCCACATACCTTCTCAGGAGGTACTTGGACTACATCAATAGTCTCCAATCACCTGAGAAGGTACGACTGGTTTGTCTACGGAACCTTTTGGGTGATTCAGTTTTGGGCCACTTCCGCACGGACGACGAGTGACGGTCGAGTGGCATCCAAGCGCAACCACCTGGACCGGTTACGTGGGCCTGCAGGTGCGATGGGGATTGGACAAAAAAGGAACCTTTGCCAAGGACTGGGTAGGGTACACAACTGACATACTTGCGGTCATGATCCAATTTGGATCCATCTGGAGTGGAGGGTTCAGGGACCGACCGACCTGAGCAATCTGAAACAGATTGCTTCAGATCGTCCCAGTGAACAGTACGGCATAGTATGGCATGAACTGGTGCGTTTGTTGGGAGAACGGGCAGTTCCGGTTCTCGGAGCTGACCGGTCAGCTCGGTCAGCGAAGACCGCAGCCATTGAAGTTGGAAGCTGCATGAATGCAGGAGACAGGAGCCTAGCAGGCCCCTGGTGTTGGAGGTTATTTTGGAGTCCATCAACAGGAGCCTAGCTGCCTTCCCCCAGTAGCATTTCACTGTGTGGATTCTACCATCTACAGTTTGTTCGATCAAGAAGTGCCTTCAACGCATTGTAGGCCACTTGAGCCACTTGTGCATTTGACGACGTGCGCGCATGTGTGCGCAGAAGCGCATCCCTGACAGAGGCTGAAGGGGAGTCGGAACAGAGTACCAGAGCATGCTCTATTTGAAGTCTATTTGGGATTTGTGGATGCAGCAGCTCAATGGCTACCCATGTCACGTTAGGCAAGTTTGCTTTTAATGTTGGCATTTGTTGCTCAACATATGTATAGAACGAAGTAATGGTTTAAACTTATTGGAATGCTGTTCAGTATTCCCTCTCTGCACCATCACAGCAATGCACAGCTGGATTTGGAATCAGACGTTGAAGTCCTGCCTCGCACTGTCGAGCCTTTTGTCCTTGTTTGGCCATCCACGAATCGCTCACCTCTTTGCGTCCACTGCCTCGCTCGGCAGCACCTGGAGGTCATGCCGCAGCGACGGTTGCAGCACGGCGATCCTCACAGCACCCCCTCCCGCGGGGGGGGTTTGGTGGTGTTCGGTGGAGAAAACCACCACCAAATGCAAGTTTCAGAGGCCTCATGTGGCGATCACCTCAGTTAGTATAGTTTGTGTTGTTTGGTATGAGATTGCTGAAGAGGTGGAAGTTTGCAGAGGTGGTGTGTCAAAGTCGCCTTGGTGAATAATGGTGAATATATGAGACTTACCATGGTAAACCTCTTGCTAAGAAGAAGTGCTACATTAGATCGAACGATTTAATGTACAGGATTTTAGTTAAAGATAGTTTCATGTCATGTCTTTCTTAATGTTGAACTCTGCTTCCACTTTCGACTCTAGGTGTTGCAAGGGGTTTGTGTGTTGCGTGTTTGTGACAGGGGCCACACAGAACCCACCTGAGCAGTTGTTTGCTTAACGCTGTTCCATTAACAATCCTTACTTTCAGTGGGTGAATTGTGGTTTGCCAGAAACTAGCTGCCACTCTAAAGTATATAACGGAGCTCAAATCGCAGGTCTTTTCTTCCCAGGGATGGTGTAAATGTAATGGATGGGTTCTTTTCAGTACGGCGACTCAGTATGGACCTTGGTGTTGGTTTATTTCTACCCAGGCTTTCTTCTGCCTGATTGAAATTGGGATATCGCCCCGCCCGACCACCGGGACGAGGACTCAACTGAAATCCAGTGGTTGGAGGATACCCCTGCCCTATTCCAATATCCAGAAGACCCAGATTGGTTTCCGCTCATTCTTGGCAAGTGGATAGTGTAGCATAGACTGGAGAGGGCGGCTGGTCATGATATGCAATGCTGCTGGACGTCCGAGCTGTTTTCACGCCATCGAAACAAGCAGCAAGCAACGCTGTCCCACACTCCAACTATTCAGTGGGATGATAGAGCCTTGATTCAACTCTTGCCAAACAGTGTCAAACCTTGTGCTCCCCATCTCCAAAAAAGAGCAGAACAGATGCTCGTTTGTTTGGTGATGTTGACTCGCTGTGTTTTGGAACACGGCCAAGTGTGATTCGGCAAAGTTGACTGGAGTCAACTGGTTATTATTGTGGGTGTTCTGATGGCTCATGGGCCAAATACTAAATGTCAAATTGCAAGCACTCATTTGAGCCTTCCATTGGCCTGTTGTGGGTTGGGGCAACCGGCGAGTTTCACAAGGTACATTGACATTCACAGACCACATCATACCAACTAGACCAACTATGCAGTGTAGACTCTATATACACAAAAGATCATTGTTCCGCCAACCTTGCACAGGCTTGGTCGACGTTGAAGGTAACATTTACCAGCTTGCGCATGTGCAACCTGATTGTTGATATGGTTGCTGTGGGATCTTTACACACGTGAACAACCATTTGGACTCCATCCATTCGGAGTGACGGACTCTTGATTCTCTTGGAGGTGGTTGCTCTCCTCAGCTGTTTCCAGCCATGGTTGACCCTGCTGTCCAAGTGCCCTGCTGTTGCTTGGTTCCTTCAGATGCTGCTGGCCTCATCATTGGTGGCCCGGCAGAGACCGCCCTCACCGCTCGCGGACCCGGTGCAGTGCGGGGTGGGGGTTGGCAGTTTTGTTGAAGTTAATCTAAGACCCAAACCTCCCCCAGGCCACTCTAACCTCCCAAGATCAGTCCAACCTCCCTAGTTCCGCCCTCCCAAACCCACGAATCTCCCACGCCCCCAAACCCACTGCACGGACCACCAGCGAAGCACCGCAGCCCGTCCTTCCCAGAGGCCGCGGAGGCGCCACTGTGCGGCAGATCTGCGAGGAATCCAAGGCACAGGTGACCCTCGGGCAGCGGAATTTAGAGGTGCATCGGGGACCGAAGGAGTGAGGTCTGGGAGTGAGTGAGGGGGTGAGTGAGTGAGGTCCCGTTGAATTGGACAAAGTGGATTTGATCGCCTTGAACTTTTTTGCCAATTGGTTTCCCCACTGGACACTGAGGGGAAACTGAGGGAGTCAGGTGGAGGGAGTCATGAGGAGGTCCCATGTGATAGGTGTTTTTTCTCATGACTGCGGGGCCCGAGGTTCCGTGACTCACTGATTTCGTCAGGTGTCCGGGACTTCTTGGGATGTTGGGTTTTGTGATGCAGTTGCGGGGTTCCAGTCGCTAACGTGGTGAGAGGTTGTTGCATGTGTTTGCTATCCAGAATCCAGCTTCTTCAGTTCGTGATCTTGTTGGAGTCCCTTCCAGTGACCGAAGAAAAACCAGGGGATCAAGTTCGGCCAGGAGCGGAAGAACCAAGATGGAACTCTTTGATGGATCCCCAAAATGCAGAACTGATCAGGTTAATGCCCAAACATGGTGAAGTTCTTGAAGGCTCCGAGGACAAGGATGAACCGAAAGATCCTGTTTATTCAAACTCTTTCGAGTTACCAGTTGCCATTCTTTGGAGCCAACTCTTAGGCAGAGTATGGGAGAGTATATAGACGAGAAGGTGTTTTTTTCCGCAGAGCACATTTTTTAAACATCCCCAAGCAAAGACTGCAGAAACATGTTTGCTTCACATGCCCAGGAACGTGTCAGGAGACCGGGACACCCCCAAAGCTTTGAGCGACCGACGCTGGGTTGCAGAGAAGCCTAAGACAGCCACGAATGTGGGACGAACATGAAAAAGTGCATGAAACTGCCAGCTGCAGGATATTCGGATATACCTTGACTGGGTCCATCACGAAAGTTACCCTGAGCTACCTGATGAGTCATCCTGAGTCCACTGTCCACCGTGCTTGAGGGCAAATGCATGGGCACTTGATCCAACAAGTGTCATGAATGTGGCACCGTACTGATTCTCCATGACGTTGGATCATGGAATCATGGCTAGAGCCTGGCTAGAGTAGAGGGCGAAGCTGTACTCGCAACATTTTGCCCGGAGGGTTGACAGTCGGTTGGCAAGCTCAAATTCATACCCGAAAATAAAAACCCTCAGAAGCTACATTCCGCTTGTTTTTATTATATATGAGAAGCGGCATCAATGAAATAAGGAGGCCAGATCCTGATACCACCACTCACATCCTGAAAACAGGATCCGTACTTACCTACCGTACTACCGTACGTATACCTTTCGTCTACCCAGATATTTTTTGGTGCACATCCCAAGAGTTGGTTCATCTAGAAGAAACATATACTGTATATAAACAAGTCCAAACTGGTGGATTGCTGGATCTCAAAGAAGTAAACAGCCCCCCCTTCTAGCAAACAAAATCGAGGTAATTAGAGCTAATAGTGTCAACCCCACCAAAACTATTTGGAGTTGAAGAGTTGCTGTTGTTGTAGCAGCAGTAGGAAAACTAGGGGATTAGTAGGGGAGAATCAGCAGCAGGAGGTGACTAGTAGCAGCAGCAGCAGCACCAGCAGCAGTAGTAGTAGTAGTAGCAGGAGGAGGAGGAGGAAGATTCTGCGAGTAGGAGTAGGAGTAGAAAAAGCTTTATCGGCAACAGATATAGATGCATATTATATTATTGTATTCATAGCACAACGCTCCAAGTTTGCGCGGTTCCCCCAGACCAGGGCAACGCCGGTGACACGGGCGGCCGAGGCATCGTCACCATCCAAGGCACCCACGAACAGATGGAGACAGCGCTTCGAGAGGCCTCACCACCCCCCCGCGGTCCAACCATAGATTGCCATAGATGGCCTTTGAACGGTGTTTTTGTTGAATTATGTTGGATCTGAGTGGACATCGTGGCCCCCAAATAGATAGCGGCACGGTGTCCAATACCTTTGTAGTGGGGATCTACTTGTTTGTTGGGGGATTAAATATACACATCAAACTGTTTACCCCCCCGGATCTTCGTGTGGTCAATTCTGGCTTGGTGCCTGGCACCGAGCTCCGTCTTTTCGCTCCGGGAACAAGCGACGCGGAGGCGCTCCGGTGCCCCGAGCTCTGCAGGTGATTCGCCTCGTGCATCGCTCCCAAGAGCTGGATGGAGCAGAAGAGGGCATTTTCGTGGCCCGGCACATCGGTTCATTTCTGGTTGAGAGGTTTTTGTTGAGACCTGAAAAGATACACCGGACCCTGGTTGGTGGGGCGAATATAGTTTTGGGGCGCAACAAAGAGGCTATGAAAAGAACCGCTGTCTTGGAATACAGCCCGGCACTCGAAAACAGAACATTTGGGAACTGGTTCAGGTTTTGGGACCCTGGTCGGTGCTTTTGGGGGTCGTCGTGGTGGTCGATGTGCATTTGTTTATATGTTGGGTTTCGTGGAGGGGCGAGGGTTCGTTTTTAGGGGCGAGGGTTCGAGCGGCTTTATAAGTCTTTAAATGTTTGTTTGGTATTTTAGGGTGGGTTCAATCTCAGCTTGTGTGGGATTGGATTCAATACACGGGACAACATGTCGGAGGTTTGTAGGGTTTGCATCACACAAGAAAAAGAGCGATTCGAACAAATACCACAAGTCACCAGTTCCCAAGGTTGCCTGAGTTCCACACCTGGCCTTGTTGGATCATGTTGCACCATGAAACCACTCGATGCGTTGGAAGACGACGTTGACATACCCTTGACGATCGATGTGGGCGGCACAGCGGATCCATATTGGGCGGCACAGCGGATCGAGACGGCACATCTTTCGATGTTTCAGCCGAGCTCTTCGCATTTGGCGGGATGCAGCACAGCCGTTTCAGCCGCAGGAACGCATATAGGTTCGGTTCAATCAGTGTTCTGCATGAAAGGTTTGTTTTGGAGCGAACGGAACTTGAATCCCCAAATAAGCAGGAACGAAAAGAAGAGCAGAGACTTTTGAAGGCAGTGCAGGTGCACGGAGGAGGGTTTGCCACCCAAAAACAGGCCTTTTAAGATGGCTGACAGCGAAAAAAATGAATCTGGCCATGAGACAAATCATGCCTTGTTGACTAGTCTAGATTGGCTCCAAGTGGATAACAACACACATGACATCCCCACCAAAAATGGATGGTGACCTCCCACACATCGTTTCTGCGGAAGTGGAAGTTCCCAGGTGTAACCCCTTTGTCACCGAAGGAGCCAAGAGGTTTCAATCGTAAAAACAGTTTTGCTCTTTTCAATTTGTTTCTGTACATACATTTCTTTAGTTGAAACCTCTTTAGAGCCAAGATAATTAGATTCAGGCCATGACCTTTGAGATCCTTTGCAGTGATGCATGTGGTTGGTCTACCCATCTCTTGGGAATAGCCGTGTTTCATGGGGCCTGCAGGTTTGGGCCTGACCCCAAACAATAGCACTGAGCCTTGTGCCTGACCCCAAAAACCTCACAAACCACATGGGTGCATGTGGCAAGTCTCCATGTGACTTCTGTGGAGATACTCGTATATACTCGTTGCTTCTGTGACCTCTTTCCAGTCCTTCTTTCGCGCTCCCGCACACCAAGAAGACACAAAGAACTCCGGGCAGAAAAAACACCATCCGTTGCTGGTCCTGATCTTCACCCGTCCTGTCTGGACGGACGCTCCGGACACCGTTCGTTAAACGGCATTCGTTCGGGGTCACGGGCGCGCGCTGTTCAACGAAGGACGAAGGTCCCGGGCGGAAAGAGATGAGATGGTTCCGCCTGGAACGGTCCCTGCCAAGTGGAGAGGGCGGAAAGAGAGGGATGGGTTTTGGGCGCGAGGGAGTGGCTCATTTTCGCTGGACTGGATTTTCTTCGATGAGAATGACCAGGCTGCCAAACACGAAAGACAGTTGCCTCCATGCAGGCTATATAAAATGGTAAGATCATCATCAGCCATGACAGTGGCAAAATCATCAATAGCTGTTTAACAAACTCATCGAACGGCAGGAGATGATCCAAACACAATGGCTGAACTTTTTGTACAATTCCCTACCCACTCCAAGGACAACCTTGAACCGTTTTTCGGGGATTGGTTCCCGAACTAAAGAACAGGCTGGAAGTTGGCTTAACCGTTATTGTCGGAACATGCAGCCAGATTTTTGTGCTCTCCTGAGAGGGTCTCAACCATTCAGCCAGATCAATTCAAGACGCCTGGAGATCAACATCCCGCCCTTTGTGCAAGTTCTTGTACCATTGAGCTCGTTATCCCTTGCATAGATGGCATGCAGCTACACATATTGATTGTGATATATTCTGATACAAATGCACGCGAGCTAACTTCCAAAGATGTTTATTGCCATCTTGGCTGTTCTGGAAATCTCTGAAAGGACTTCTAAGTCACGAAAGGTAGCGGTTACGCTACCTGAGTTGTCTTTGCTTTAGCAAAAATGTATTGGGGGTGGTGAAGTGGTCCGATGCATGATTTCGATTGTTTAAGAGTTGGTTTTAAATGTCGGGGGGCCCCCCCCATTCGACTCCACCCTGCGCCGCGGAGAATTTGGTAGCGATTTGAGCAGACGCAAGTAGCCAGCAGCAGCAAACCAGCAATGCAGCAGCAGCAGCAGCAGCAACACAGCAAAGCAGAAAGCAGCAGCAGTGGCACCAGTGGCAGCAGCAACGACAGCAACAGCAACAGCAGCAGCAGCAGCATCAGCAGCAAAGCACCAAAGCTCACACAAGTTTGGCCTCCACAACCCTTGGTTTTCGTTCAGTTTTTTGGGGGGTGCGCAGACGAAATTGAAAGAGGGGGGCGCAGCAAAGCAGCAGCAGCCTTCAGGATTCAAGCAACAGCAGCAACCATCAAGAAGTAGCAACAGCAACAGCCAAACAGCAGCAGCAACCAGCAGGAGCAGCAGCAGCAACCAGCAGGAGCAGCAACCAGCAGCAACCAGCAGGAGCAGCGACCAGCAGCAACCAGCAGGAGCAGCGACCAGCAGCAACCAGCAGGAGCAGCAACCAGCAGCAACCAGCAGGAGCAGCAGCAGCAGCAGCAGGAACCAGCAGCAGGAACCAGCAGCAGGAACCAGCAGCAGGAACCAGCAGCAGCAGCAGCAGCAGCAGCAACCAGCAGCAGCAGCAGCAGCAGCAACCAGCAGCAGCAGCAACCAGCAGCAGCAGCAGCAGCAACAGCGGCACCAACCAGCAGCAGCAGCAGCAGCAACCAGCAGCAGCAACAGCGGCAGCGGCAGCAGCAGCAGCGGCGGCGGCGGCAGCAGCAGCAACAACCAGCAGCAAGCAGCAGCAACCAGCAGCAGCAACCAGCAACCAGCAACCAGCAACCAGCAGCAGCAGCAGCAGCAGCAACCAGCGGCAGCAAGCAGCAAGCAGCAACCAGCAACCAGCAGCAGCAACCAGCAGCACCAGCAGCAGCAGCAGCAGACATGCTACATCATGCTACCTTTCGTCCAACCCCCGTCTCCTCAAGTTGGAACTTTGCAATTTCTGCTGTGGCTTTCCTCATTCGGGTTGATTGGGCGTCATTGCAGGTTCCATTTATATATATATATATATAGGAATGGTGGGTGATGTTTGGAAATCTCTGCATGCCAAGCCAAACATTGACCCTTCACCAATGATATGATATGCTTGTCACATCTTCGTTAATGAAGCGCATCTGATCAGTGTGTATTCACAAGGTTGCCCTTTTTCTGACAATTGACCCACATTTGAAAGCCTGACACTTCCAGAATTCAAGGGCAATGCGTACACAAGCCCTGCGTGGCCTAGAGTAGAAACAGCCTTTTGCAAACCATTCGCCGATGCATTTTCTACCGACAAGACCCTTTCCGCAGTCTTTGCTTGTGGAGAGCTGTTCGCCAAGGCTTTGCGTCGCTACGGGCGCTATAACATGCTATAGCGTTTTTCCACCAACCACAAGGGGAAAAAACGGCTCAGGTGACAGTGGTGCCTTGCGGCGCTGCAGCTTGGCACAACAAGAAAATATCAAGCTGGTTGTTTCCCTTGGGGCGCCCGAGAACCAACAATGTCCCTCCTATCGCTAAACCAGCCGAGTGGATGTGTTTGTGTTTCTGGGCACGTCGCCGGGCTTGGACTCAGACATTGTCTTGAGAGTTCGCAAGGAACCCGCGGCGTAGTATTAAACTAATTGAAATTATAATCCTTGAAGTTTTCACTACAAAGTGAGACGCCCCGCGGTGTCAAAACCGGGGGGGTTTTGTAGAAGAACCCAAGCATGTTGGAAAAATGTTCCAAATGCCCAAGTTCCTGCTTGGGCTTTGAACCTGTATAGAGAGAGTGCATTGCAGCTCTTGTGTGGTTTGATTTTGTAAGGGTGATCCTGATTGCTCCTCAAAGTCACAATGCAGCCGGAAAAATCACACGCATATTCAGCGATCAAAATTCAAAATTCCGATTGTTTGGAAGATTCAGAATTTGAGACATGGAACATACCTGCTTCCAGGTGAGAAGCACAAGGAACAAACAGGTGCCAACTCATGACAACCTATATTGTCCTACAGAACATGCAAAAAAGACCCTAAAGAGATCACAAATCACAACAAAATCCTTGTCATTACAAAATCACTTGGCAAACATGTGGTTCCCAAATGTCTATTTCTGGAGCTATTGATGCTTGGGTTGCGATTCTGTAGAAAAGTTTTCGCATCAATCAATTTTTGATTTTGTAAAGACCGATGACTACCTGAGAGGCTGTGAGGTCGCAATTTGTAGACTTCACAAGGGGGGCCCTATTGTTGGGTTCTCGTTTTGCAACACCCCAGCCTTTTCCCCAACTCATATAGGGATTAATTCGTTTTGGAAGTTGCAGTTGCGGGCTCAGACAAGAAAACTGATATTGAAAACAACATTTGGATGATTCGGCCATAATGCGGGGGTCATGAGCTGCACATGGTTTAAGATGCAAAAGTGTGCCGTGAAAAAGAAGGGGACGGGATGGATGTCGTTTTGTTCACGCACATGGTGTTCTTGAATTTTGTGTGTTGAACCGATGCCAAAGCTGTGTTGGGGCGCAAAGAAGGTCCATGAAGTGCTACATATGTCCAATGGCCAAGGCCTCATAGAATCATCGGAAGACCTCGAGCACACCCACCAAGTGCAATTTCCCTTTGTGCAACCACACCACCTTTGCAGGATTGAGTCACTTATATACCAATTGGTTATGAATTTATAGTTAGATGGACAAGCGGTTGCCAGGGTCATCCACAAACTCTCCAGGTTCATCCCGTGTCATGTTAACACAGTTATTTACTTTGCTGTGACTACTCGGGCGTGTCAGATCGGTGCATGGACATGAATTGACCTAACCAACCTTGTGAGTAGCACTGATCCTGTGGCACTGATGGGCCAATCACCAATGGCCCATCACCGTCATCACCAAACAGACCACTCTTAGTACATCCACTGCAACCCATCCACCAGACCCTACCCGGACCCGGACCGGACCGGGTGGCAAGCCTCAGGTGGAGCACGTGGTGGGGCCCGGAGGCGAACACATCCGGGAACTGGTGGAGACCATCGGTGCGGAGGTGAACATCAGCCGGGTCGCACGGGGGCGGACGTCCGACCTCTGCCGGGACAGGTGCCGACGTGCCGAGCCGTATGTCGTTGGGACAGGGCAGACAGTATAGACTCTAGGCAGGACGGACAGGGCGTTCGTTCACTGGGGACCATGGTTTTTGCAGGTGTTTTGCTATTCATATTGCTACTGATCCATGGTTCAAGGATGCGGGCTGCCGGGTGGTGGAACCTACTAGCACTCAGTATGCTAGTCACGTCGATTGAACAAGTGATCGTGACGTGCAGAATCTGGGCGTTCCGGTCGCTCCCGGTCGTGGACGCCTTGAGACCCTGAGGTCGTCACAACATTGCTGGCACTGAACTCCAACCTGTGAGTGTGGCAGGCAGGTGCCCGAGTGATTCTTGATCCTAGTCTTGGGGCGTGTGATTTGTGGGCACAGAAATGAAGGCACTTCCTTCAATTTCAATCCAAAATATCATGTTCTCCCCACATGCAGGTCCCCACATTTTGGCGCCTGTTCACTGGAAACCGCATCCATACGTACCTCGGAGGTTGAGGTATGTAGTTTCTGAAGTGTGCTAGTGCCTGGGGTGCTTACTTACTTCACCTTTTAAACCTTTGTGCGAGGATTTGTGTGCACCCAACAAGCTGAAACGGCCAGTGGGCGGGCTCCAAGTATCCTGTTGCGAATTGAGTCAACTGCCTTAAGGGGTACCCAATGGACAGGAGTCGGATGCAGCTGGTGCGTATATACATCGGATGCTCAGGTCTTTGCGTCTTGGATTTTGCTGCAGTATGCTCGGAGCTGCTCGGGTGAGTCTGGACTCAGACTTGCCGATTCTTGCGTCCGCCAAGGTTCGCAGACAGAAGTCATCCTGATAGTGAATAGTGGGTCTGAGATGCTCAGGGAGGGCTGTTGCTATTTCCAGTCCCCTTATCCGCCACTTTTAGCTTCTGAAACCCGGATTCGAAGACAGGCACATATGTAATATGTATTATTTGGACCCTATCTACAAGGTGAATCCGCCTCGGGACACTGAAATGAAGCGCATGAACCAAACGGACCTCCATCCTCGGGTCGTGCCAGTTGGATGAACTCCTCCCCAGCCGTCAACCGTTGGACTCTCGGTGGAAGCCACCGTCTCACGAGTCTCTCGATGTCTCTCCCGCTTTCGAGGCACTCCCTCTCAGATGCTGCAAGCCACCATGAAGGTCTTGTCCTTGGTCCAGGAGACACACCATGACGCCATGATGGGACCATACCGGATCAGAGAGGGTCACAGGGTCGGAGCCGCTTGGATTTGCGGGTGCGAAAAAAATAGGCACCAGGAGTCACAAAGGGGTGGTGTTTAGTCCCTAAGTGAGTGGATCATGGGCACCCCTAACTTCCATTAAGCACCCCTTTGTGACTCGTGGATCATATGATTTTTGTTGAGGAATTTTGATGGATCTTTTTTGGGGGGGGCCAAGTCCCATGAAGCATCCTCCAAATTGGCCCCAAATGTTCAATGTATTGATTGTTACTTGCCAGAGATTACAAGACTCTTTACAATCTGATACCGGTTTCTGCGCATGTTTGTGTTGTTTTTTTTAAATACAACATTATACACGATTATATATATATAATATTACATGTCATGTTCACTAGTGCTTGGGAAAGCAGCATGGAAGTTGAGAGTGACGTTACACACATTGACATCAGTGACATGGAAACAGACCTTGGCCTTTCAGGGCTTTCTGTTCATGACATGTTCCACACGTGTGTCGTACTAGATTGCTTCTGAATGTCCACGTGTATTTCCCATTTGCCACCAGGGGAGGGTGCTGGCAGCCGAACTTGGACGCCTGGATCCCATTGGTGCGACTAGATCCGTAGACTCCCTGAGAGTATGAGTGTCATTTTGATGTGATGTATATGTGTTTTGCCCATGCTTCACCCCCGGGCTTGCTGACCTGGTTGGGGGCTGAAGGTTTTGACACATGATGATGCACCTGGCCCATGTATGCACTATGTGAGGGAAGTAGTAGTACTGCTTGAGCTCAGCAACATCAGCGAGCCCTGCTTGAGCAACGTCGACTTCGGCATATGTGCACTTCCAGGGAGCGGAAACGTACGGATGCACCATTTCTACATGGCGGAGGTGGCGTATGTAGCAGCATCTATAGAACAGAATCTACCGTTGGACCCCAGGGGTGGTTGATGGACACCCCTTGACTAAGGGGCCAGAAAATGGACACCCGGAATCTGTGGAGCTGGAACACGTGGTGGTAGGCCTCAACATGTCAGACTAGTCGCCCTGAGCTGTACGGGCTTTTTCCAGCTCGACTCGAGCGCCTCCCGAGCCTCCAGGAATTGGCTGATCAAGGAGGTCTCACCATTGAGTACGCCTCCTGGGTCGGGATGGCGCTTTGGTCGACCCGGGTCGGGACATCTGATGGTCCTGGTGAGATTGACAGAGAGTGTGAAACATGTTCTTCACTCATCCTCTACAATTCTAACAAGTTAACAAGTGTGGGTCTGGGGAAGACTGATTGGATCCACTGCAGTTTGTTGCAAGAAGTGGAAGAAGTCTTCATGCTCAATCAGCTGCTGTTCAGTTCAGCTGTTGCGCTCTTTGTTCGACAAGCAACATGGTGCGATGGAATGATGTGGGACCTTGATAGTTCTTCTGTTGCTCCTCGGGTTAAAGCAATGAGCATGCTGAGAAGTCCATGTGAGTAAAATGTGCTCCGGAGGGACAGCATAAACATCAAGATTTGCCCCGAACTTAGTAGGCGGGTAGACTTCGATCTGAAGGTGATATCGTTCTGGGAGAGAGGGAGGCACACAGGCAGGGGAAGAGAGAGAGAGAGAGAGAGAGAAAAAAAGAGAGAGAGCGAGGGAGGGAGACCCCCACTTTCCGAATTGCCCAATATCTAAGACCACAGAAAGATTGACCAAAATATCAAAATTCTCTGCTTTGGCGGGAAGTCCACTGGTGCAGGTCTTTCTGATTTCTTGGAAGCTGCTGATGTTGACAGTTGATCTGCACATTGTTGAACAACATCTAGGTAGGGATGAATTGAATGTGATTCATCAACAACGTTACTGAGGTTGGTACATGGGTAGGACCGAACTACAACGTGCATGGGTGGGACAAAACCACCATGGTAGCCCTCATTTGGCCTCGTAGATGATGATGCCCGGGTTGAAAATGATGATCAACCCCCTGCCCTCGGTAGGTGGTTTTGTTATGTTTATTTTACTTTTTTCGTTCATCGCATCGCGGGTCGTCCATCGCCTTACGCAGCTCCTACTCCTGGCCACGGCGCTTGCCGGCGAGTGCTACACCATCACAGGCTGTGAGCAGGACGGTCAGAGGGTGGAATGAGTGGTCAGAAGACCGCCTTCAAATGAGCAAACTGACAGACTGCACAAGGTAAAGTGATAGACTACACAAGACAGCCTCGTTTTGGCTGTTCAAGTCCACTTCACGATACACAAAAGAGCCCCATTTTGGATGTTTTTGTTTTCCAGAGGTTTTAGGTGTTCGACCAAATTCACCTCACGGTGTCCATTTATGGTGCCTGCCTTGGGGGTCCAGGTATGTATATATATATATACACATACACGTAATACACTCACACACATCCACAGCAATCTATTGTCAAGTCTCGGAAACCCTCTTTTTCGACAGTGTGTGAGCCCAAAGCCCCCCAAAAACGAAAGGGTTTTAATGGCTGGATGCTGCTTTAGCTATGAGTGTCTACACTTCTCAACGATAAGTGTTTGCTCTCAATCTTGACAGCTGAGAAGTGCATTGCTCCCAATCTTGACACTCATATAGACTTTGCTTTCAGGTCGCATCTCCCAAAGCCCTCTGCTCTCATTGTAGCAGTGGACACTGAAAGGACTTCAAGAAATACATAGCTGACCACGAATACCACTGCTGAAGGTGCATTTAATCCGTGCTGGTATATGTGTGTTATTGTTGATTGGGCTTGTCCCATTACCTGTAACAGTCGGTGAACAATTATCACTGATCACTATTTTAGAGGAAGCCTGGTACCTAAGCATTATCTCATCCGCTGTTACTGGTCATAGGATGTTTGGTTTACTTGGGGTCCATCCGCCGGGCGACTGATCCTGACTTAAGAACTGCCGGCAATCTTTAGCATGATGATTGTGCTTTGTTTGTTGTTGTTTGCTTGTGTGATCTTGTGTGTGTGGTGCGGGGTGTATTCCGCGAAGGTTTCTTTTGAAGCTCAGCAGGGAAGCACCGTGCTTTCACAAAAACATCACAATATTAAATTGATATATATATATATACACATATCAAGCATGTGTTTATAGACTGCTTTTTTATGATGATCTTGCTGGGATCCAATGGACGGTGAGGGCATGTTCAAACTTCAAGTCTACATCAACTGGGACCACCAAGCATAGCAAGTCCCAGCAAGTGTGCACCACTGGAGCCGTGGCAGCCTGCAATGGATGTATGGTGTGATGGCTGGTTGGCTGGTTGGATGAAAGACGGCAGACCAGAAGATCATGGTCTTTCGAGCTGGAACCAAGAGCAACCAAGATCAACCAAGACCAGAAGATGGTTGGTTTTTATAAAGCTGGGAAGATCATGGTCTTTCGAGCTGCAACTTCCTGCATGCTAGTCACTGATGGTGTGTTCAGTTCTGTGGGGCACGAAAAGACCTCTTTGGACCGCCCATTCAGCCAGCACACACGGACCGCATGTGCGGTTGGGCAGGATTTGCAAGAACGAGGGTGTTTGATCATTGTTGGTGGTCAACCTGGGGTCAAATCGCCAGTATCCTACGGAATTTGAAGCCAGGTGATAAGGTGGTTGGCGTGGGAGGCAAGAATCTTGAAGAACAATTTCAGGGTTTTACAAACAGTCGGCTGCATTGAACAGGCATGATTTGCTCTTCCATGATTTGTTCAATTTCAGAAGGGCGTCCCAGTAGTGAAAGGTGGTTCAACGGTCTCGCGACGATCCCTCAGACTTAAAACATGATGGTAACATGTTGATTCTACATGATTTTAATTGATTTTACTTGAATTCCAAAAAACAACATGTACATATATATACAATATATAAATCAGCTCTTCGAGAAGGCAGGCGATGGAGAGAGATATAATTGTTTATTTCACACGTCCAGGAGTCACAAAGGGGTGCTTGTTGGAGGATAGGGATGCCCAGAACATCCACTCACTGTCACTGAAGGGGACTAAACATCATCCCTGTGTGTGACTCGTTGATAACACTCAGTTTGGTTGAGCGCCCGTTCCTGCAATGCCCATTTTGGCCCCAGCGTTGTGCTTCCATTCCCCGGGCACCTTCGGGCCTTGGGCCCCGTGGGCCCCGCGGGCCTGGGGGGTGGCAAGGAGTCTCGGACATGAAGAAGGGCGGCGTCATGCAAGGGTATATCCCAGACCTTCCAGGTGGCCAGGTGACTGGCATATACTGACATATATATATATATGTACCCTAGGGCTCCAAGTACCTCGTGTGTATATATATATATACATGTTTTGTTGCATTGGGGTAGCTGCTTGAGGGTAAATCGGTCAGCCGCATGGATGGTTTGGGTAAATCGGTGTCCTGTGGTGTCCCGACCGAAGCAGAGGCCCAGATCCGACTCCCCAGGAAGAGTTGGTGGCTTGGCTTCGAAGCCGTGACCATGTATTCAACATATCAAGTCGCAAACGCTCGGTGCCGCAAATGCAGATAAGAAATTAACCAAAGACATCCCAAAACCATGTAGGCCATTGGAGCGTTTGCAGTCCCATGGAGCGTTTGGAAGTGCGATGTAAAGTGTCCATCCATGGTACCTTTATTTGTTCAGTCCTGGCAGTGCTGAATGTCTTCATGCTTTCAACAACAATAACAATACTTTTTTTTGCAAGACTTGTCCAACAACTGGAATAGAAGCCTCGCCTGCGCTGCGCGCTTCAAATTGGGCACACCCAATTTGACAGCATCCTGTTTTCAGTCGATTCTTGGTTGTGCGCGAATCCATGCCTATCCTAGAGTTATCACTGTCTCCGTGCACGAAGAGATCTCTACAAGATGGATCCCACGAGGGATATCCATGGATCCCACGAGGGATATCCATAAACTGAACGCAAAATCTTAAGTTTCCCTAAAAATCTAGGAACCAAATGAATAGTGCAAACATTTCTTCAAGGAAGCTCCCCCTGCTTTCAGGCGGAGGAGCTTCCTTGAAGAATCGCTATCCTGCGTCCACGCTAGTGGCTACTTAATAAGCTACTAGCCCTCTTATAAAAAATAAACAACTTCTTGTGGCTCCTAGTAGTAAGGCCAGTTTCGCCTCGTTCGTAGCGTCCGATCGCTCCGTTTGTATATCCGATGCAGATTGCAACGACGCGAGGTCCGATCCCGCGGATCCGTCGCATCCGAGGATGGACGCCAAAGCGGACCGCATGGAGGTGGTAACCCGATGGGCGTTCCTGGGCCAGAGAGGAGCATCCGGACTGAAATAGACATAGGATTACGTAGGTTTTTCCCTACTCCGTTTCAAGATGAACTAGATGCTGCAACTACCCCAATCTATGCCATACATGAAGTATCATGAAATGATTTGTGATTAGATGTTTGTTTGGGTATTAGTTGATTCGACAGGATACCGGTCGTTTCAGGACCAGTCGTCTAGGTCTATGTTGGTACCTGGGGGACGAGGGGCGGTGTTGAGTGGATCCGCTGTTGAGGTCCACATGCAAGCAACATCTCATATCCAGTGTTTGCCCTTGGCATGGCATACGTATACCTTAGTATCTTAGTGCCTTGTATACCAAACAGTTTTTCTCCTTGTAATACCTTAGTTTCTTTTGATTTTGCATGGCTGAAGCATGCGGCATCCCATTCAAACGGCTTCTTTTTTTGAGATTCAAACAACACATGAGCGAAGTTACGACCCACCCGAAACTTGCCCAATTTGGAACACTTTTCTGCCCTTCAACACTGGTGTGACACCCCATGGCTGGGGTTCTGAACTTTTTGAGGCTTGTGAATTGATCATCGTTGATCTAATTGGATCTTTAAACAAGTTGTCCGAATCTATTTGTGTCCATCTACTCTATATACTCCCCTTGAATGCATGGAATGAACGGTTTTGCATTTTAAAAGCAATAATACCATAGCGGGCCTTTGAATATAGCACAGTAATTTAGATAGTCTCAGTTTGAAAGGGTACCTAATTCAACAATGTAAGAGCAATGAGAGGCTCACTATTACAGACAGTTGGATCATGTTTGATTTGTTGAGCGGGGCCCACCTACTATTTGACGGCCCTGCTTGACTGAACCCGAAACCCCCTTCAAAACACCCAATGTAGCCCAATGATTGTCTCATACATGGGAGTGTTTGGCTCATGTAGAGTCTTGATTAATAAATCCAGGGGGGTTCTTCATCAAGAGTCCACATTTGGGTTTCTATAGTTGGGTTCTCCGACCCACATCCCCGACCGCGCCGAGGTTAATAGCTCTTGGCGTGGTCGTGCTGCTGAGGCGTGCGAGCAGTGCGAGCACGCGTCTTCAGCTGTTTGAGGAGGTTTGAAGTTGGACAAGTGCTGAATTGTTCTGTCTTCCCCCTACCTGGTACACTGACCCCACCTCACCCCACTGACCCCACCTGACCCCACCTGGTACATAAAGATGATTTGCCAGGCCTCTCAGCGAATGATTGAAGTACGTACTGGATTGGTCATTTGGTCAGGGCGCCCCACGAAGCCAGGGTGCCAAACATATATAACCATGACAACAAAGGGTCTGGACTGGATGTGTTTGTGCTATTTTTTTGGGGCTAAACCATGTTCAAACCGTGCTTTTCCGTGCTTTTTGCCTTTCAGTTTTGTAAACACTAGCAGAAGCGAAACAAGCAAAGAAGCAGAGCAAGCAAAAACAGTTCTTGCAAAAAAGCAGAAGAGCAGACTGGCAGAAAAGCAAGGAAGCAGAAAGGTAGATACACAAAGAAAAAATAAGAACAAGAACAAGAACACGAACAAGCAGAGAAAACACAGCAAACATCATCAACCATATATTTGACAAACAGAAGTAGAAAAGCCAAGGCCACAGAAACCAAAGAATCCAACAACGAAACAAATCGCAATGCAAAGTCCGCCAGGAAAAAAGGCGCTCCCCTACAATAAATCCCTAGCGACTCCTCCACTCAACCCTCAAGATGTTCAAGCTCCTGTTTTGATGATTCCCTTTTGCGAAGACCTCACAAGTTTGTACAGCTCGTGATTCGCTTTTAACTGGGGCAGAGTCAGTTTGGATGCCCCAGCAAACACCTTGGTGGCGAGACTTTGGCATGTGTTGTTGCAACTAAGACTTGAACACCTTGAGGGCTTTAATGGCCTTCAGAAATCAACTCACAAGTCTTGCAGAGGTCAGAATATGTTTCATGTAATTTGTTTGCTTCCATGTTTGTTGCATCCTGATGTTCTCATAGACATGCCACTTTCAAGGGAATACCCGGACTTGATTCATGATCACCACCTAACACGAGAAGACAGTGTCCCACTGAA